GATTGGGAATTAGATCTAGAAACAAATCGTTGTGTATTTGAATGTGATCTGGAGTAGTTATTTCGACTATTTGGTCTATTGTAGTGATTTTGTGATGAATTATGCGTGTTTCTTCGTTCTGGTGATCTTCCTCTATAACTTGAGTTATATGGTGATTGATTTCTTGTATAATTTGTATTGTTCGGGAGTGGTTTTCCTGAACTGTTGTTGCTGTAGACTGTTTTGTTCGGTAGATTTTGATCTTTTTTCATGTATTGATAGAATGATTTATTTGGTTCTTTATATTTTTGAGGTTTATTTTGATTGTCTTGCTGTTTTTGTCTACATTCAGAAATACTATGTCCGTATCGTCGGCAATAATTAAACCATTTTTTGAAAGATGGTTTGCCTTTAAAGTTTGGGTGTTTTTCGTAAATATTGAGTATTTCAGTGATTTTTTCAACGAGATATGTATCTGATTCTTGTATATTATTTATATTTGTGGAAGCTGTTTCAATTCTGTTAACGTATTGTAATTTCAGATTTTCCGTTTCTTCGAGTTTCATTATGATTTCTGCTTGTTCTAGTTTGTCTACTAGTTTTCGAAAATCTAAATCGGGTTCTCGAATTGACGAAGGATGGGATGCTCTCTTTTTTATTGCTATTTTCCTTAATTGTGGTGTTAAGGTCATCATTAAGATTTCTGTCATCTTTGTGTTTTTATAGTCATGTGTATTTAATGAATATGCTTTTCGAACTAGTGTTTCGATTCGTACTGCTAATTGCTTGATGGTTTCGTTTGGTAATCTGCGAATTTCATTACATAAAACTCTTTGTTGTTGTTTGTTTCTTTCGGAGTCAAACATTTTTGAAAATTCGTGTGTAAATCTTTTCCAATTTGATTTTATTTCTATAGGCAATACTGAAAACCATTTTTGGGCTGCGCCATCTAGAGTTGTTTGTATTAACGCTGTGCGTCGATGTATCCAGTTTTGATGTAGTGGCGTATTAATTGGTTCAGGTCCTATATTTAAAATCAAATTTGCTGTGACTGCATTTAAATAGTCTTCTACAGAATATTCAGGGTCTGTTCCTGTGAATACCATTAAAGGTTTATTTGATGTTATTGATGATCCACCCATAAGGTATGGATTCATCGTCATTTGTAATGATTCTGCTGCATTTGGCATTTGAGAAAAATTTGAAAGTTGATTTCTTGTTATTTCGTGTTGTTGAAGATAATATGGGAGTGGTATTTCATTTTGCATTTGTGCTCGTTGGTACGAGTTTGCAATCATTGGGTTTTGTTGCTGAATTGGTTGAAAAGATTTATTAATTGGGTTTTGTTGTTGAATTGGTTGTTGAATTTGTGTATCTATTGGTTGTGGAGAAAAAATTCTATGATATGTATGTGGTTTCTGTATTCCTTGTCCACGATATTCTTGATTATAGGGTGTAAATATATCTGGTTGTAAGAAATCATCATCTGAGGATAAGTAATCCATTTGATAAGATGTTTGTTTTTTATTTTTACTTTGTTGAAAAAATGGATAGTTTTCACTACGATCCTGTGGAGGATGTAAATTTGTTTGGAAATTTACTGAATTAGGTGGTGCCATTGGGTTATCCCAGTTTTGAGATCTTGTATAATTACTAAAATTTTTTCGTGGTTGATAATTTGTTTTTGATGGGTGTGTGTAATTATAATTATGATCTGCAAAGTTGTTTCTAGTGAACGTTTTGCGTGTTTTTGGCGGTATTGTCATGGGTCTGTATGTTTGGTAATCCATGTGTGAATATTTTGGGGCAACCGAAGGTTTAACGGTTGATTGTAATGTTACCTGTGTTTGTGAAGAATTTGTATTTCTTGGTGTTGTTAAGTTTGGACGTATTGGTGAAATACTTTGTTGTGTAGTTGTTGTGTGTACGATTTCTTCATTTATGAAGTGTGATGGTGTCTGGATATCTTGTTGAGTAAGATTCCTAGTTCCATTGAGGTTTTCATTGTGTATGACTGTAGAGTTTAAACTATTATTTTGCATATCGGGTAAAAATGTATTATAGTTTAATGGTGTTGCATCAATGGTTAATGGTATTACTCGTACATAATCTCTTACATAAGATATCGTACTTATTGCTTGACTTGAGATTGATTGTGGGAAGTTTATGAATGCGGGATGAGACCATTCGGGGTCCCAAACATAGTCTGATTGTTCTGTGATGGCAGTATCATCGTTGGAGTTTTGGGGTCTAAAGTTTTTTCTTGCTTGTGAAATTAAATCAATATTATGTGTGAAATAATCTAGTATGAACCATGCCAAGATTTTTTGTAAGTCGTGTTTTGTATGTTGTGAAACTTCATCTTTCGTGAAATTTTCTTTAATTATATTTAGAAAACTAGAGAGTAGTGTGATTTCATGTCGTACTCTTATATGTTTAGATGTTTCTGTTGGTGAGACATTTGGTATCTGGATTTCGTTTTCTAATATCGAGATATAACTATATATTATCGCAAAAACTTCATTGGTGAATATGGAGTTTGCTCTTTGTGAGTTATTATATTGGATGCTTTTTATATATTCTGAGAATATTTTTGAGAATTCTAAATCAAGGTCGTCTGTTTGAATTATATATTTACTGTGATTCTGGTTTGGTGAGCTGAATTCTATGGAGTAGATTCCGTATTGTTGTGTTAGGTTACATATATCTTTTAGATAGTGATCGATAATTTGTCTTTTGATTTTTACATCTGGGAACTCTGTTTTACATGGACTGATTCCGGGTTCAAACAAATTTAAGAGTAAATTTTTGCAGAATATATGCTGTCCTCTATCAGTGGTTGCGTCTACGATAAAGGGGAAAATATCATCATCATCTGGACTTTCTTCACCTGGGGTGTGCGTTGAGCTCATTTTTTCGTTCGATGACTGTTAATATGTAATTATCAATGTGTCTAATTGGTTGATTCCAATTGTATAAATGTACTGGTTTGTGTTTATACTGCTTTTTTATTTTTCTTTTTCCTCTTTTTGATGAATTTGAAGTTGTTTCTGAGTCAGAGAAATATAATTGATCGTGGATTGGGCAATTTTTATCTATTGATTCTTTTAATTTATAAAGTTCGTCTAAACTGTTGGTTTCTGATTCTGAAAATGCGTTTCGATTTTTTGAAAATCTTTTTCGTGTTATTTGTCTTTGTTTAGTTAGTATTTTTCTCTTTAATGTTTGTCGTTTTGTTCTAATGTATCCAACTGTTTGTGTATGAGGTGTGATTACAAGGTCGTATTTTTTGTTATTTATTTCACAATTGTGTAAAACGATTGTTTGTTTATTTCCTAGGTTTTTAAATGACATAAGGTTTAGGATGACGGATGCAAAAGGTTGTTAAATGATTTCTATTTGCTTAAACTGTTAGTCCTTACGATTTTTTTGTTAGCCTAACCTGGGTCTATTTGTTCAGGGTTGGGTAGAAAAGTATATCGATTCCGAAGAATGATTTTATACTTTCTCGTGGCTAGTATAAGCTAAGGTGTTAACTTACTTAATCTTACTTAAGGGTAGTGATTGTGTTCAGGGTTGGAGAATAGTAAATGGATCCACAGGGTTCAGGTATAATTAGAACGCGAGTAGTTCGTTAGATACTATTTTAAACTTACTAAGTCTAAGATTTATCCTGGGTCTGGTAAGAGGGGGGATCAAGTGAAGGATGAATAACCGAAGTTCTTCACTGTTTATCCTAATTTGAATGATTAGTTTTGTTCAAAAATTTCTATTAGTCCTGGGTTTTTAGAAAGGGTTGGATAGTGAATCGACGTTTGAGGTCGTTAGACACTCGTTTAAGTGGGTGGGGGAGAACAAAGTTGTTCTTTTTGATCCAATGATAGGCCTTGATGATCAAGTTTTAAATTTAATTAAATAGAAAATGATTTAAGATCCAAGGATAAGCCTTGATGATCTGATTTTAAAATTAAGTGAATTTAAGTTTAAAATGTTTTAAATTTGTGTAAAGAAGAGATTTAGTATTTTTATGATATTAGTGAGCTTATAATTGCTGTTATGTTTAGGCGATGAAGCTGGAACAACAGGATGATTTATAATTACTAATCATTTATTGTCATGCTACTAATTTTTATTTTGATTTTTCAATAAATATTTTTCAAACATGTTTTGTATATTACTGCAGAATTTTGGAAAACGATCTGAGATCTTTTTATCAATCGTTATTGTATATTAATAATTTTGTTTAGCGCCTGAAATGATTTTGAAGATTGACTTCAAAATTTTATGTTTGCAAATGAAAATCTAAATTCATTGCTAGTAGTATTCTAAATACAAAAGTTTGTTCTGGCTTTTGCCGAACTATCATATAACTATATGGTAAGTTTCTGCTTTGTCGTATGTCGTCTCTGGTTCGAGGTCTTCTTCCAATTCCGGGTAGTTCTGTTATCGTTCGGAATATTGGCTCTGATCTATTGAGTCGTAGAGACATTTCGATTAAATTATTGTCGTATAACATTTTGTAAATGTTTTGTCTAATTTCTAATCTATTATTGGTTAATGCTAAGCTATTAAGGTCTTGTTCGAGACTTATGGTCGCACCAGATGAGTTAGGACCGAAGTGTATAACTCATAGAGTAATTTCGGATAGGGTACACCGTCTGCTCGTCACGCTATCTTATTTTCGGCCGGATAGATTCGTGCAACTTCTTAGTCTAATACCGATCCTAATCTTACTCTTATACTATCTAGTCTCAGGTTGTTTAACTAGTCTCTGCTAGGCTCAATAGATCTAGGGTATACTGGTTTATTGCGGTTGCTGAAGTACTCGGGAGAGTTCAACTAATTTCTAAGTTAAATTCAAATCTCTCTGGTGCTGAAATTACAAGTAATTTCAGCACTTACAAATAAGTGGATTGTTAGTTAGATGGATCATGATTGGTTAATATTAAATACTTTACATTGGTAAAATATCTAATTTATCCAATCATAAAATGTAGTTTAGATCAGGTTCCAATATTTGATGTGTGTCCCATATTTAAAATAATGAACTTATTTACGAGTGAAAGAAACTTTGTCTGTTGAATAAGAATAGGAAAGTCTTAACAACATACCCCTTATTCTAACTAGCTGCGATTTGGTCGATCGCCTCGCCATAAGTTAAGTCAAGTTAGTTTGGAATAATACTGTGATTGTCAATCTTCAAAATCATCTGAATCCAAATTTCCAAATTTCTTTCGAATTCAAACTTAAAAAATTGGCGACTTTTCGGTTTAAGCAAGTGATGAGAATTCTACTGACAATGAAGAGAAAAACAGGATGACTATGGTGACAGACCAGACGCTGGCCTATTGTGTGCAAGAGTGTAGCTTCGACCCCACAAACAACACTTTCACTCTACCCATGAATGCCACAGACGAACAAGTTGGTAACACAAAGACAAACACTACTAGTGACTCGTAATCCATCCCAGGTTAGAATACCGAGACAAAATGAGGTGGTGATGAAAAGACTGTTTGCACAAATTGAGTTGATTGTTTCTATAGAAATGAGCTCTGGTTTCGAGGTCACTGGGGTACGTGTTTACCGCATTATCTTTAATTCTCATGCTGAGCTGGTTTCGGGTCAAGGACACTGGTTGATGATTTATTGCGATAAATTTGGGAAAAGACGCAGTGACGTGTGTCGAAATGAATACAATCAATACTTAAAAACATAGCCATAACAGATAGTTGGAAAAGAGTCATGAACTCAAGGAAACAGAAAAAAACTCTCATACCATCCATTTTTGGCAAGCAACACTAAAATGTTTCAAAAGGCGCAGTATATACTATTTTTGAAGGGGAGCGCGCGCCGAAAAAGTACAATTTTTGCATCAAAAACGAATCAAAAAGGCCCAAAAATCCAAAAATGGCATTTTTGACCACTTCTTTCAAAAAATTGCTTAAAGCGCAGAAAATTTTGTCAAAATAGGATCTTTATAGTGTGCTGGAAGCGCTCAAAGAAATCAATCTATAAAAAAGACGATAAAATTTTTGAAATTTGTTAAAAATCCGCCCCCTCCCATCAAGAAAATCCTAGATCTGCCCCTGACCAGAAGATTTAAGTACCAGAATACAGTAAACTTAAAACCTTTCCAGAGATACGGAGCATGTAATACGGGGGAACAAAAAATATTCAGTTCATTCAAAACAATTACACGTCACTGCTGATGATAAACGTTGCAATTTATTTAAGTCTGTTTTTCTTAGCTTGCTTGGGACAATTAATTTGAAAAACATTTTTTCAGCTGATGATGTGGACTGAATTGGAATATCAGAGTGCAATCGGAGCGTTCTGCGCTTCACTGTGTCAAAAAATGCGAAGGAAGGGCAAAATGCGCAATTCGAAGAAGCTCCTCCACCTCTTGTGGGTTTTGGGTACACTGGTTACTTGCATTTACTACCTCTATTCTAGTTAGCAAACTGTTTTCTCGAGGCTTTTAATTTGGTGTTGAAATTTAATTTCTTGAAAAAAATTAATCATCACTAAATCTGATGAAACTTTATTTGTCGCACCAAATGCAAAATTATAATTCAATCGATATAAGTATCAGTTATGACATGCTGTTTGAGATTTTAAGGTAAATCTCCAGATAACACAATTGATGTGTCTAAGTCCTAGTTAGGAAAAATCTGCAAGAATCTGACAAACCCCGATTCTCCAAAAACCGTTGGGACCAAGTTAACATCCTCCCTCCCCCCCCCCCTCCCCCCATAATACGTTTAGGGGGGAGGATGTTAACTTGGTTATGAGTTCGATTTTTCAGCCAATCAGAATAGAGCATTTTACAGAATAGAGCTTAGCAAATTTAATTTAAACTGAACGCTAGGGTAGAGGATCTTAACTTGGTCTCTTTGGGGGTGGGGGGGGGGGGGGGGGGGGGGGTGGGGTGTGGAGGAGGGAGGATGTTAACTTGATCCAATCGTTGCTTTATATTTTGGAGCCCAAAAATCTCATTACTAAGTTAATCAAACGTATCCCAAATTTTAAAGCCTTGTTTTGAGCCTTCGAAGGTTTTCGTAGCCATCAAAATTGATCATATGATAGTTAATCGCAGACGAGCTTAATACAGATACCAAGTGGCACTCTGTAAACACAAGCAACAATCAGCGGCTAACAATAAAATGTGAAAAAAAACGAAAAAGAAAAATACGTTTGGGGAAAAAATCAAAAAAATTAACAGTTTAGAAACGAGGCCAAAGGTCAATTAACATAACAAATAATCGACTGCTGCTTGGACTAACCTAACTGCACGCTTGTCAGAGTAATTAACGTTACAGTACTATTAAATCAAAAATTAATGCTACTAAAGCGCACATAGTTAATGTTAATACTATTTGAAATCATCAAATGGAAAACAAATGCACAGATACAGTTCTGATTTAAACTATCCGGACAAAACAAACATAATATGAAAATTGAAAGGCATTTATCTCAAATTGGGTTGACATTAGACAAATTTTGATGATGAAAAATGTTATTTAGATTTAAAGCAAAACTAAAATGGTGCAATTAGCAAAATTAAAGTTATGCCATGTGGTGCATAATTAAAATGGTGACATTTGTTTTTAAAAGGATGCCAATTATGTGTGCCTAAGTTTTACCCCAAACCGATAATTTTTGGCTTTTCAGCCAATCAAAAATTACGCCAGACAGAACTACGGGATCCAAAATTGACAAAACGATCTCAAAGTGAGCCTCTTAAGCAGGGTATTGTTTTTTAAGTTATGTTTCAATAGAATTATTTTTGGTTCAATAGGCAAAAAGTGTCTTTATTAATATATTAATTGCCAATTGAGAGTAATATACGTAGTGAGTACTCTTGTATAAGTCTTTGTGAGTTTTTTGTTTTTCTTCAAGAAAAAGTCGCAAAAATTTGTTCGGGCTCAATTTTGATTTTTCGCTGTTTGATTTTGATTTTTTTAAGGTTCAGTTCATTTGCTTCGTTAAAAAGCTGGCATCTACTATCAAACAACAAAAGTATAAAAATCATAAGAAACCTGATCGACTTCTAATTTTGAAAAAGGAAATTAGAAATCAGATTTTCCAGCGGAATCAAAATTTTACCAGTTAACCGTTTTATCATATTGGGTTAATTTTATGAAAATGAGCACTGATCATAACTTATTTGTGAAATTCACAGAGCTTTAAAGACGGATATATTTTCTTAAATTCAAAAATTGAAACTTTCAAGAGTCGATTAACGTGATCGAATTCTAATTTCGAAAATGAAATTTAATTATTAAATTCCAAGCAAAACAAAAATTTTTCCTTTATGATGTAGTTTTCCAAAATTCTTCAATTAAAATATTTTTATGAAATAAGTCAAACACGAGTTGTTTTAGAAAAGCAAAGGATTTTAAGCCTATCTATTTTTTTTGCTTTGAAAAATGAGCTTTATCAAAAATTATTTCAAATTATTTTTCTGATCAATTGCGTTCATTGTCTCTCTTCCAACTGTCTGTTGACTATGTTTTCAAAATAATCAAACAATTTTTTTTTCTGTTTCATTGCGTACATTGTACATTACTGTTTTCCGAATGTCAGTTTTATATTTCATTTTTTTTTTAAAACGATTTGCCAAACTTTTTAACATTTAACCTTCTTAAGTTTTGGTATATTTTTGTGAGTACTTGATGGCATTGTTTTGGCGTAAATTTTAATTGACCCAAAGAGCCAAACTTGATCAGTTGAAAATTTGAGGCCTATTTTTGCAAAAGAAATTGCATCAATTCTGTTTAAATCCTAAGTAACTTTTGTCATCATCAATTTTTGTCAAAAGTCAACCCAATTTGATGAAAACTATGTTCGTTTCGACAAATAATTGAAGACAGCACTGTAAACTTGACAAATAACCAAACAAATAAAACTGCACTTTCAATTCAGGTTTAGTAACAAACAAAACGAACTGATCAAACAACACAACCGTTGCTTTGTGACAAAAATTGAGTAGTTTATGTGAAAAAAAAACGTCATTTAGTAAGTATCAAAATCTACTTCAATTTGGAACCCGAGTTGTAATCAACGGTATTTTATAACTTTTATTGTGCAAAGACACAGTAAAATTGTCCAAGTATGCGCTTGGAACACTATTTTGCTGAAGTTAAAATTATTTTTAAGAGTAACAGAACAAAGTGATTTTTGCTTAAATAGGATTTGATGATTTATTTAATTGTATTTTTTTTCAACAAAAAGTCCTAAAAGGCTCTAATAACTAATCCAATGAAGCATCTACTATGGGATGGCAAAATGGTCAGGTCACGGGAAACGTGAATGAGTATAGTTTCAAAAACGGACTTTGATCTTCAGAATTCCCAGTTGAAAAACCTCCAATAATGTTCAATCAATTTTCATTCGGTTTCTTTGTTTTTTTTTTTCAAAAACATTTCCAACTCTCAGTTGGCTATATTTAAAATTAATTTAAGAGCTTCAGCTAAAGCGCTTCAGCTAATTCTAAAATGAAAAAACTCAAGTTAAGTTTTTTTAGGTTTCCTGTTGTTTTTCATTATTTTCCAACATTCTGTTTGCTATAATTTAATTCAAGCTTAATTTGTCCCGTTTGCTTCATTGGATTAGTTGTTTGGTTATTGTGTGTATATCAACTGATATTTTCCTTTCAAGATATGCTTCTAAACTTAATTTTGCGGAACAAAAGAAATAAAAGCAAAGCGGAGCTAGCAGGATACATAAATTGTAAAGCTAACTAACAGGAAACTATTTTTACAAGAAAAAAAGGAAAAAACAGGAAATTTTTTTACAACGTAGTTTGTCAAGCTAGCTAAAAGGAAATGAGAGAACAGCTTTTCAGTTTAAAAAGTATTAAGAAAATGTCAAAAACTAGATCTACTAAAAACTTTCATTTCTTAGCGTTAAATCAATCTAAATCAAGTAAGTTGAAACAAATTTATAAAGCGGCAATTAAGTCGACAAAACAGAGTTTCAAGCCAACAAAACACGGATTGACACCCACCAAGCCAAAAACAATTGTAGGGTCATCAAAAGTTTTTTTAAAAACGTTATCAACAGGAAAATCCAGGCTTAAATTTAAGTTGTGCGGTTTGAATTTGGATTTTTACTTCAGTTGATTTCTTTTGTTAAAAGAAAAGCGACTCCACTTTCGGCAAAGAAAAGTGTAGAGGTCGCGAAAAACGTATTGACCTCTAGCGTTGAAAGTGCTTTTCAATTTTCAGATTTCCCAGCGAAATAAAATTTTTTTATCGATTCATCTAGTTTTCTCAAATTAAATTATTTTTATTATGAATCGTTCATTCATAAATTGTTCTAGAAGTTCAAAGGGCCTTAAAGCCAGTCATTTTTTTCTTTGATATTTCATCAAAAAACAGGCCAGTATTTTTTCCTGTTTACTTGTGGTCATTGACTCTTTTTCAACTGACTGATGGCTATGTGTAAATTTTTTTAATTCGCTGTTTTGAGTCCCCTTTTAAAGCAAGTTCTAGCAAAAAAAGTATAATCCACCCCTAAAGCGGTGGAATTTATCCGATATTACAAAAACCAACAAAACTCGAAGCAAAAAAATATAGAAATGGTTCCCATTCGAGGGGGAATGCGCAAAAGAGCAAAATGAAATAACAAATTTCGAATTAAACGTGGACTTTGAAGTGTAAAGACGCTCAGAAGAACTCATCTGCGGTGACACTTACAAGATGTTTGGAGGTCAGATGCCCCAGGAAGATGAAACCTATAAACAATAAGTTTTTCGAGGGAAAACAGCCTAGTGCACCGTTGTAGTGCATTTGCTCTCGCGCAAGTGTAATCATAAAGAAAAAGTTCCGGTGCTGTGCATTTAGCACAAAAAATTGCAGCTTCCAAAAAAACTTAGTGATACAAAGTCCTGAAATTATTCAAAAAAAAGCTTATCCTATTAAAGAGTCAATTTACGCAAAGAAAAGATTTCTTTAGCTTTTCTTTTTTTCAGAAAAAATATCACTAATGGATCACACTCAAATGTGATTTTTCTAATTCTAATGCAAATTCATTTATTATCAAATCTCTACCGACGCCCAAAAACGTGTTTAAACTTTTTTCAAACATGAATTTTTTCAAACACGAAGTTCCCAGCGGAACGTAAAATGGCGTAAATTATACTAAATGCCGCAAACTGGCGCAACTATTCCTCTATTTTAGTCTAAAAAAACTCCTTGAATCATTTATTTTGACACTTCAGAAAACATTTTCAGATTTTTCTTACGTTTTTTTGAATCACTGTTTAAAGGTATTTACATAAATACATAAATCACGTTTTTATGAAACATGACCTGAAGGTACCTGAAAAACACATCATATTAATTCCACGCCTTTATTGCTTAAAGTAAAAATCCGCGTTGAAGAATTTGTGATTTTTCAGAAATGAAGATATACTGTCCGCTATGAAAATTGTGAGTTATAAAAATTTAACCTCTTCTCTACTAAACATTTCAAGCAAAATTTACATGTTGAGTTGATTTACAAAATTTACAAGAAACCAGACTAAGCAAGACTGCTTGTATATCAGGGTAAAACTCCGAATGTTCCGACTGCACTTTAAGTCCAATTTAAACAATTTTGATTGAAAAATTGACAAAAAAGTAGATATTTTTTCATTGTTTTATTTATCCCAGCCTAATGTAAACTAGAATAGTATGTATTTAGCATCTTGTACCCTAATAAAACGACCAAATGACTTGACTCAATTCAATTTGGAACGCATTAATCTGCCACTTACGCGTGTTATAACAACGCATTACTAACAATTTTCCACGCAGAGGCGAAGTTGCACTTCGCATACACAAGCAAAGAGATGACCGATAACGCTACTGGGAATAACTGAATGAGTAAAACTTTGAGTCTTCAAAACTTCTTAAGTGACGCACGCCAATTATAACGCATTAGCAGTACCAGTCAGTTTGAAAATATGCCCAACTCACATGCCTAAATTTATATAGCAGTCCATGGAGCAGTAATACCATGGAAAAATTAAATGTAATCAATATAAAATGATTTTTTTTATTGGAGATTTTTTGTGAAAATCATCCCCCCACACGCCATATAAAGCACAAAGTGATACACTTCGCTCCTAGTAACAAATCAGTTCTGGCCAATAAGCTTCCTTCAACCAATTCGGAACGACTTCTATGACGGATTAAATCTCCGCTTACGCGTTTATAGCGCGAAATATATCGCGCGTTAATTTACCCAAGTTGGTCAAAATGGCAACTTTTTAACTCCCATAATTTTACTAAAAATGATCACCGGTGAAATATCTTTCCAAATTTAAGGTCAAGACAACAATACTTTTTGAAAGATATAAGAAAAAGGCTAGTTAAAAAGTCGAAATTTGTCGGAAAAAAACCACTCCGAGCACAAATATTCCGTTACTTTCGTTCCGAAAGTCGGAACAATAATAGTCTGTGTTAAAATCCTTAGCATTTGGCTGTACTTAATAGCTGGTTACTGATCAAAATAAACACTTTCAAAATGAACACATTTTATCACAAAAATATTTGCGTCGCCAAGGTTGGAAAAAAAAAGATAAATGATGCTTGTGTAGACACCCATAATTTTACGAAAAAATCACAGGTAAAATATCTTTAACTTGAGCTCAAGATAACAATAGCTCTCAGACAAAAATGCGTCAAAAATGCTTACTGAACAGGTCGAACAATGACTGAATGAAAAAAAAATTACCCCGAGCAAACTTAATCTGAACTTTCTTCGATAGTCGAACAATAAAATTTTAGTTGTCGATGAATTTGCGTCTTTTCGAAACCTCTCAAGGTAAAATTGTTCTTTTTGCCGTGTTGTCGCCATAGGAAACTGTTTTGCATTGACACCCCCGGACAAATTTGAGGGCGTAAAATAATAACCAGGGTGGCCTGGTCGTCTAATCATTCCAGACTATAGACAACGATAACTCTCATAAGCACTGAAATCAGTGCATGTCGATTCTAGAACCACTAAATGCAATCATAAACCAAATTTAGCATTTGTATTCTGATTCCCAACATAGGTTGGCCATTACCAGACCATAAACACGGTGTGATTAACATTCAATTTAAGTGAAGTGGCTTAAATTTTTACAGTATATATTAATTCGAATTAGATTTTATTTACATCAGTGATTTCAAGGCAAGTTAGAATATGCACGTTACTTTTTCCTCGAATTTAATCAAATCAGTTCATTCTCAACCGGAATTTTATTTGCCTTTTCTATCAACAATCAGTGAATTTAAGAGAGATATAATCGAGTTAAAATATTATGACAGGTCTGGAACTTCGATGAGTTTCACGAGGCCGTAGTGGTAATATAAACTCATACTGTTCACGTGGTTTTGTTGGTATAATAATCTGGTGTTCACATGGTCTTCATGACCTCGTCAACTCCTGCGAAGTCCTCTCTTCGAGAGTAGAGAGGAGCGAGGAAGACGAAGAGATAGGAGAGCAATGAGAACAGCAGTTGGACCCAGTGCAAAACCATCGAGTAGCCCCAGTGTAGGTGGTCCATTTCCTCGTTCAGAGTCCACGTGCACAAGGTAGGCCCGAAGAAGCCAGTGCCCAGCTGTAGGCCCGACAGCAGAATGACAAAATTGTACACGTGATGGTGCACCTGCCACGGAATAAGGACGCCTTTTTATTAGAAAAAAAACTAACGAAACTCAAAATTAAACCATTACCCTGCATCAATTTCCAAACGTTTTACTTCTTTTTTTTTTCTGATTATAACTGAGAAAAGGTAGAAATAACAATTTAAGTTGAAGATAACAACTTTTCGAATTGCCGTGGATAGAAAAATTATTTGAAGCGTGATTAGTGGGACTGTAACATAACCCATTTGAGAAAGTTTTTATGCATTCTACATTCTGACTTTTTAGATCTTAACCTATGCAGACTTAGGAGGCCGCAAACAGTTCGATGTTTTAAAAATCAGCCAGCGTCTCTATCTGCATCCTTACTTCAGATCTAAATTTCTGCTTTTAAAATCACAGTCTAATTTCAGAGCTAAAAATTTCCTGCATGAATTCGAATAAACAGTGGCATGGCCAGGCTTATAGTTTAATAATTGTAAGGCTTTTAGATGCCACGAAAAGAGTAGCACCAATGCTTCGATCCGACCACATGTTGTTTTACATCAAATTTTTGTCCATACACCTCTCACATATTGGCATATATATTAGCCGTTTTAAGAAAAAAAATTTGGGTTAGTCACCGGAAATTGGATTAAGTTGCAAAATAGCATAAATGTGGACACTTAAAACGCCAGAGAGCTCAATTCCTTAAGAAACAAAACTGCCTATAATTGCAGCACCTCAACGGAGAAGTAGTATGCTGCTTGTCTGGTCAGCACGAGGACTCCGAAATTAAGCAGATAGCTGCAAATTCCAACTGCCAACACCATCTGCACAGCTGAACACACCTGGGACGCCCGCAACATCGCCAAATTCTTCGTGTCCTGACATCCGGGAGGTCCATTCCCGGGACACACCATGAACTACACACAAAATTCTTGCAGGCAAAATAACACTAATAAATTCACACAAGCCAATCATTTTGCGCGTATGAATTGTGATAGGTCTTATGATATTTACGTCTCATTTGGCTGTCTAGAACAACAGGCTCGATGAGACATCTAATCAAAATTAGATACACCTTTAAAACTTTTTTGCATTCACGAAAACATTTATAATAGTGTTTTGCAAAAGGTCATGGTTGCATAGTCACTATAATCAAAGCTTGGTAAGAAAAATGAGTCACACAAAAAAAACAGTAGCGAAGGTTCCGTTAACCTTGGTTTGATGACAAGCTGAACAGTCAGCGATGAGGGTAAGATTTTTCCATCTTCAAACTTAATAGTTAGGGTGATAGATTAATTTATAAATGTTTGAGGCAGATTAAAACAGATGACAGTCGCCTTGATAACCCCCCCCCCCCCCCCCCCCCCAACCCCATCTCACCTGTCCGTGTTGTGTGAAGTTGTTGTGTTTGTACTCGACTGTTGCCATTGAGGTAGCAAGGAATAGAATGCATATCAGCTGCAGAATACCTGCACCAATCATCCACCAGCCCCTGTTCAGCTGACAAGCATTATCAAACATCAATTGAGTTGTTAGTAAAAGGACAAAATTGACTGTTGATCTTCTATGTTTTTCCCATTACCTCCATCACAGATAAATGAGCTCAATTTTAGGTTAAAAATATTTTCACATTATAAGAATTTTCACATTATAACTTGCCTATGCCAACTAGACAAACAACTCAACTTGTACTATGCCAAACTGGAGCGAGATTTGAACTTTCCCCAAATTTTCGAAATCTTAATTTTAAAAAAAGTTTGAAGTTTTTGTTTGAGAATAAAACAAAGCAGCTCTGTACTGTAGCTCCACGAGTTAATTCCTATAGAGCACATCAACAGCGGAGACATGGCTTTTTGGTTGCAAAGTCATAACCTTTGGAAGTATTTTATGAATATAATTTACGTCTGAAGCAAGTTGGTGAATGGGGCTAAATCTTCGAGGCAAATTTCAACTACAGTTACGGGAAAAAGAAGTTTGAACGTTTTGAATTCAACGAGCAAAGGAAAAAGTTTTTGATTACGCTTTTGTCAATTTCTCTGCAACGATTTTAGATTGAGACGAAATTTCGACACATGCTAGATGAATCTTTTTGAAGGGAGCTGGTCGGATCAAAATTTGAGGATTTTTGTTTTGAAGGCGTAAAGTAGTGAGTATATCATAACTAGTTTTAGAGGTTTTCTTGCAGTGGAAACATCCTTGCAAACAACACAGACGTTTGAAATTATGGGCTAAAAATGGTTCTTTTGACGAGGATGAGCTTGAATTTCTTTTTCTGCCGTGGAAAAGCAACAGACAAACAAATTGAAAGAGTTAGTGGTCCAGCATTAGAAACGGTCGTATTTACTTTGAGGATAAAGACATGAAACAGTTTTGGACGCTTATACCAGAAAATTGGACAAAACTAGGAGGCAACACAACTGCTCATGAGAACCCTATGCATGGACCTGAGCCGTAAGTTTTAAGTTTTTTTTTCTGATGGAACAGTTTTTGTGTTGGCATATTTCGATCAGTAGAGCAAAATTACTCATAAAAGAATTCTTTGTCAACATCAAACGTGGTTCGGCATCGAAAAAAAGTTGTATCGCTTTTGAGGATACAGATATGAAAAGGTGTTGGACGCTTATATCAAAAAATTGAACAAAACTCAGAGACAACACAACTGCTCATGAGAGTCCTGTCCATGGATCTGAGCCGTCATTTTAACAATATTTCCTGCTGGAACTGTTTATGGGCTCCAATCAGTAGGCTTATTTCAATCATTAGCGCAAAATTACTCATAAAAAGTATTTTTGTTGCCGGATCACGTAACTTTTTCAATTCTTTTGATTAGTATACTAATACGCCCGGGGGTCCGCGGGGGGGGGGCGCTACCACAGGTGTGAGTAACCCTGGGAAAATTAAAATCACAGGGGTTGGTACTATGGAAAAAAACCCCAGGGGTGCTACCGTGGGAAAAAATCAAAATCACAGAAGTGCTCCAAAATTTGGGGGTATCGGTTTAGACTGAATGTTAAACGCTTTTTCCACTAAAGTTAATCATTTATAACCGCAAAAGCTTTCTACTGATTAAAACAGCAAACAACTGATTTAAATAACTTTCTATCGCTTTTTTAAACGTGCGACTATTGAGCGGGTATGAGTGGTGGTGATATGAACAATCTTGATTTTATGTAGCGTAGTTTAACTATAGCTAGCAGTGGGCTATTTCCTTAATTTGAGCTATGCTATAAGCTTTGTAAGCGTTTTGGCCCAGAAATAGTAATCAAGAGCGGTTTCCGCGTTGCGACTAAACGTATGAATGGTTCGAATTTAAGGTAAACTGATTTTAGGTGGTAAAAAAGCTATAAAACTAAGCAGATAGAAATTTTTTTGAAAATTGAAAAAATGAAAATTTTTCCAGATTTGTTTAACTTGAACACTATTAAAAAAATTAGGCTTCAAGGTATGTAGGGGACCTGAAAACTAGCTAAAGAGTTTCACTAAAAAGATACTAATAGCAAATAGGTCGGGAAAAAAATTGCTTTAACTACATACTCGCGCAAAATTGAAACAAAAATCCAAAATTGTTTTAAAAATTATTTAGTACTGGAACAATTCAAGCCAAAAAATAGTGATGAATGAGTGCTTCGATGAAAAAATTCAAAAATAGACATCTGGAGGAATACTTTTATTTTGACTGGCTTAAAGCTCAGCAGGTCACAGAATTATTGGAAAAATTACAAAATCAAATTGGAAAAACGTGCAAGTGTTTCAGCGCACTTGGAAATTATTCACGAGATTTATTTGACTGTGAAAAAAACGTATCCGGACAATTCTGACCGCCGAATTCATTTTCTAGCTGCATGCTCTGCGTGAAAACGATATAAATTATGACGTTGCCATTAAATTCAGTCCATATCGAGGTCTTATTGGCATAGACAATTATTCATGGGACAAATATTTGAATGATTCAAAAATAATACGACTGCTTGCGATTTTACACGATGCAGCGGAATTTGATCACGAAATTTGTAAAACTGGTCCCAACTACTGTTATATGCTACCATGGATTGTAACAACAGTCTGATTGGTCGCTTGAGTAGTATAATTTTCTGTCTATATGTTGAACTGATAAAAACAAGTTTCTATCATTTGTTAAAATGTTGAGATAAGATCAGTTGTGCTAGACTTGGAAGGACTTTGCTAAAGAAAAAAAAATACTTTAAAAGTTGAAGAATTAGCCATAACAACTTCCGATTGTAGCGACTCTCTTATTTTTCTACCTCCAAACATTTTCAACTCAATTCCAAAAACTGAACAAAAAGCGTATAATTGGTTAACAAACAACTTGCACGGAATTCAATGGGAAAGCGGTGATTACTTTCATTTGAACCTCAATAACATTCATCGAAGTTTTGTTTTGAGAAATCCTAACGCCGTATTTTGAGCCAAGGGGAAAAAGGAGACTGGACTTCTTGCAAAATACCTGAATCAAAAAGTTGAGAATCTTGATGAATTGGGTTGCCCGAGAATTGAAAATTTACGTTTCAAAAATTAATTCATCTTGTAAAAAACATTTTAACATTTACAACTCCAGGAACCACTGCGCCCTGAAGAGAAAAAAAGGTCTTTTATGATTGACTGAAAAGTGAGCAGCAACGAGAGCCTAGCAAAATTAGAGACCTACCTATTTCCAAATTTAGTGTTATATGCTTGTTTGACTCCAAAGTGTGACATAGAAATATCATAAACCAGAATGGATCGAAATCTCTGCCGAGGCCAAGTGGGGCAGCGGAGCGAACAAGTAACAGTTTCAGTAGAAGAATTGCCTACTTTAAGAAGAGTTTTCCGGTGATTGATCAATTCAACTACTTTCAACGATACAAGTATATCCAAATTAAAAGACAGCAAACGAGGAGTTCATCTTCGCAGGAAGAAGTTCAGAAATTAGTAGAAAAAAAGCTCTGTAAAAAAATTGTATTTCATGCAAAAACTGATAATGTCCCAGCCAATTATGTTACGGAATTGTATGACAATGTCAATGACCTAACTAATGATTGCACAGGTTGAACTCGATACGAGATGTTTCACTGTTCAGAAGAATAAATGATAAATTTTCATAACCACTTATTCTTAATACCTCAATCAGAAACGGTTGATATAGATAGATAGTCAGAGAGATAGAGAGAGAAGAGAAAATCAAATGGAAAACCTGGATGTCTGGAAAAGCAGATGATGAAGCTGATGCGACTATATTTACTGATTTTGTTTTTGATCGAAATAAAACCGAACAAAATTCTTGGAAATTTTGTTTTGATGCAACTGTTCCCTGATCAGAAGTAGTTTTTATGTAACAAATGATTCAAATTTTCAGTTTTATTTAACTTCTGTACCTATAATTTTTCTTTGACGCAAGTGAGATTCAAAGAAACATCATTTTGGTTTTCAATATTGTCTGGTTTAGTTGATTATCTACTACTAAACCCAAAGATATGAATAAAACTATTGATACATCGACATGACTATTTATGGCAGTTTGAGGACCTTTGGGATCCGGAAAAACAGAATTGATTTTCAAATTAATGAAAAACAACTTTTTATCCCAAATTGAAGAGTCTAATTTTTTTTACAAATGAAATCAACCTAGAGTCTGGGAAAAATTTCACGTTTACAGTATTTAAATAAATTGCGTAAAATTTAATGGATTTGATCGTTTGAGAAACATTGAAAACAATCTACTAGTGTTTGATAACTCAGGCGAAGAAATTTACAATGATGAAGAGTTTGATAAGCTAGCAACGGCAGGAAGACAAAAGGGCTTGGATGTTATCTATGTTAAACGTAACTAATTCTAACAAAGCCCATGGTCACCAACTATTGGTTTCAACAGATCTCACATCATTTTGTTCAAATAACCCCGTGATATTAAGCAACTTGATCATCTAGGAAGGCAACTTGATATCATTAGTTTTTTTACGAAATTCGTATGAACTGGCTACAAACGACACCTTCGGATATCTATTAATAGATTTAGATGGTTCTTAACAGTTCCAGAAGGGGACCACCAGAACTGCCACGAACCATATGTTTGAGCAGTATCTAAGACAGTCTCATTTTCGATGATCTATTAGTAGATGTCTGAAGCTGTCCTGTGTAGCCAGTCCATACACATTTCATAAAAATATTGGTTCCACTTAGTTGCCTGCCTAGACTAGATCATCGAGTTCCTGAATATTACGGGAAGATTTGAATGAAACGATGTGAGATGTGTTGAAATCAATAGTTCGTGACTGTCGGCTTTGTTGGAATAAGTTATTTTTAGGATAAATAACATCCAAGGCCTTAAGTCTTCCTGCCGTTGCTAGTTTAACAAGTTCTTTATCATTGTAATTTTCTTAGCATGAGTCATCAACCACCAGTAGAATGGTTTCGATGTTTCTCAAACTTCAAACCCATCAAATTTTACGAAATCTATTTGAACACTGTGAACGTTAAATTTTTCCCGAACTAAAGGTTGAACTCTTTGTAGAAAAAAAGCCTCTTCTAAATTTGGGATAAAAAAAAATTCCCTTTCATTAATTTGAAAAATATTTCTGTTTTTCGGGATCCCGAACGTCCCACTACCACCATAAGTAGTCTTGTCGATGTATCAAAAATTTTATTCATATCCTTGGGTTTGGTAGTACGCACCCAACTAAATTGGCATACATTTCCACTATTTAATTGGCTGGGGCATTAACAGTTTTTGCATGGAATACAATTTTCTTAACAGAGTTTTCTTTTACTAATTTCTGAACTTCTTCAGGTGGAACTGCTGCTGAGATCCTTTTGTATTCCCGGTTGACGTTTCGGTACTCAGACTAGCCTAGGAAGATACACTCCCCGGATATAGCTGTATCGTTAAAAGTAATTGAATTGATCAATCATTCGGAAAAATATTCGTAAAATAGACAATTCTTCTCCTGAAACTGTATTTGGGATCCGCTGTACCACTTGACCTCGGAAATCAATTCTTTTCTTTCTGGTCAATGATATTTCTATGTCACACTTTGGAGTCAAACAAGTACATAACACTATATTTGGAAATAGGTAGGTCCCCACTTTTGCTAGTCTCTCGTTGCTGCTCACTTTTCAGCCAATCATAAAAGATCTTGTTTTTCTTCAGGGCGCATTGATTCCTGGAGTTGTATTTATTGAAATGTTTTTACAATATGAAAAACTTTTGAAATGAACATTTTCATTTCTCGGGCAACCCAATTCATCAAGGTTCTCAACTTTTCGATCCAGATATTTTGCAAGAAGTTCAGTCTTCTTTTTCCCCTTGGCTCAAAAAAAGGCGTTGGGATTTCTCAAAACAAAACTTTGATTCATCCGATTGAGGTTCAAATGAAAATAATCACCGCTCTCCCATTGAATTCCGTGCAAGTTGTTTGCTAACCAATTGTACGCTTTTTGTTCGGTTTTTAAAAGTGAGTCGAAAAGAAATGGAGGTAGGAAAATAAAAAAATAAGAGAGTCGCTATAATCAAAAACTTTAACGGCTAATTTTTCAACTAGTAAAGTACTTTTTCCTTTAGCGAAATCCTTCCAAGTCTAGCACGACTGATCATTCCTTCAACATTCCAACAAATGATAGAAACTTGATTTTGCCAGTTTAGCATGTAAAAAGGAAAGTTATACCACTCAAGTGACCATTCAGGCTGTTGTTAAACTTCCAGGGTAGCATATAACAGTAGTTGGGACCAGTTTTAAAAATTTCCTGAACAAATCCCGCTGCATCGTGTAAAACTGCAAGCAGTCGTAATATTTTTGAATCATTCATATATTTATCCCATGAACAAATGTCTATGCCAATAAGACCTCGACATGGTCTGAATTTAATGGCAACGTCATAATTTATATCGTTTTCACTAGAAAAGAAAAACAAGAGAACATGCAGCTAGAAAATAATTTCGGCGGTCAGATTTTTCGGGATAGGTTTTTTTTTCAGTCAATTAAATCTCGTAAAGGATCTCCAAGTCTTCTGAAGTAATTCTACGTTTTTCCTATTTCTTTTTGTATTCTTTCCAACACATCTGCGACCTGCTGAACTTCAAGCCAGTGGAAATAAAAGTAACCCTGCAGATGTCAATATTTGATTTTTTTATAGAACAATTTCAAAATTTAAAATCGTTTTTAACTTTTATTCGTATAATTCAAACATTTTGTCCAAGCGTGGTCACGGTTTTCAGTCATCAGTATTTTTTGACGTGAAGTTTTCCAATACTGAGTAATTTTGTACTTAAATTTCGGTTTTAGTTTCAATTTTGCGCGAATTTTTAGACAAAGCAATTTCATTATTTTTCCGCCCTTTATGCTAGTAGCATCCTCTGAGTGAGTTTAATGTGCTAGTTTACATTCCCCTACATACCTTGGAGCCCAATTTTTTTTAATAGCGTTCAAGTTGAACAGACTTTGAAAAATTTTCATTTTTTCAATTTTCAAAAAATTTTCTATCTGCTTAGTTTTATAGCTTTTTTACCACCTAAAATTAGTTTACCTTCAATTCGAACCATTCATACGTTTAGTCGCAACGCGGAAACCGCTCTTGATTACTATTTCTGGGCCAAAACGCTTACAAAGCTTATAGCATAGCTCAAATTAAGGAAATAGCCCACTGCAAGCTATAGTTAAACTACGCCATATAAAACTCAAGATTTTTCATATCACCACCACTCATACCTGCTCAATAGTCGAACATCTACAAGGGCGATAGAAAGTTACTTCAATCAATTTTTTTGCTGTTTCAATCAGTAGAAAACTTTTGCGTTTATAAATTATTCACTTCAGGGGACGAAGCTTTAATTATTCAGTCTAAACCGATACTCCCTCCAACAGGTTTTCCTTAACTTTGGAGCACCCCTGTGATTTCGCTTCTTCCCACGGTAGCACCCCTGCGGTTTTATTTTCCCACGGCACACACCCCTGTGGTTTCAATTTTCCCACGGTATTCACCCCTGTGGGAGGACCCCCCATCCCCCCCCCCTGCTGGGCCACCGGCGTATTAGTATACTCAGGGGCGGATCTAGGATTTTCTCGAGGGGGGGGCGGATTTTCAAAAAATTTTCCAAAATTTTGACGACCTTTTTTTTTTTTTTAGGTCGACCAAATTGATTTTTCGAGCTCTCCCAAAGCACTGTTTTGCCCCTATTTTGGCAAAATTTTCTGCGCCGCAGGCAAATTTTTTAAAAAACAGTCAAAAAAGCCGTTTTTGGGCACTTTTTGAAAAACTTTGCGTTTTTTTCGCGTTTTTTTTGGCGCGCGCACCCCCTCAAAGTTAGTATATATTGGCGCCAAAGGCGCCTTTAGAAAAATTTTAGGGTCGGTCGGCCAAAAACGGATTTCTGAAAAAGTATCAAAGGGGGGACCCTTTGGGTCGGGAGGGGGTCGAATCCCTGAGGGGGGGGCGTCCGCCCCCCCCCCCCCCCCTAAATCCGCCCCTGAGTATACTACTCTTTTGTATGCCACTGTTTCGCGGCCTAAAGAGTAATTCAAGCTCATCAGTTTTTACAGAACCCATTTGAGCCTAAAAATTCTTGCTGCTTGCGAAGATGTTTCAACGGTTCTCAAATTTTGATCCGGACAGCTCGTTCAAGAAATTTCATTTGGTGTTTCAAAAATTCAGTCATAAAACTTAAATTTTCAAAAAAACGAAAAACTGAAAAAAAAATCGCTTATTTGCTTTGAAATAAAAAAATTGCAACATCTATGTGCCGTGATTATTTAATGAACTTAAAGAATTAATTTCGTAAGTTTCAAATTTTTATCAAAAAAGTGCGTTAAAAAGAGAACGATGTCATGCTACAAATGATTTAATGCGTTTATGTGCTATGACAGCATTGTTCATGAAATCTCGCTTACCTTCCCATAGAACTGGCTCTGACAAAACATGGGCGCAAGATCTATTAGGCCACAGATGACTTGGCAGATTTTTCAATCGGTAAAAATCTTATTACTCAGTTTTGGACGATAAACTTTTTATCAGCTCGTGTAACAATCAGATTAAAAAGACATTACCTGACATTCTTGTTCGATTTTTTCCTAAGCTATTTGGAATTTCTACCCAATTCGAATCAGCTTTTAACCTTCCATAGGAACTTATGTTAATTTCAGCCAAAACTGAGTAAAAATTGGATGCGTCACTTTTCTCACGAAGTTTCAAACGTCAATAATTAACAACTGAATTCAAACTTTGTCAGTTTCTGGTGCAAATGGCCAATTTTCACCAGTCGATTACGTTAGTTATACGCGTGATAGTAAATTAAATTCAATTTACGTATTAACTGACTACTTTTACTGTAGTTGGCGACGTAGTTCCCGTTTGAGATCTCTTTTTGCTATTCTCGCAAACAATCAAAATTAATTAGATTCATTCGATCAAATATTTGGACAAAATTATTTTCTTTAAGCTGATGGCATACTTGACCAGCGTACCAAGGGCTCTTGAATCTCCTGTTGCGAAAATAATTTTTGCAATTGGCTCCATATACAGAAAGATCCTATGTGACTTCAAGCTTCATTGGCATGTACAGAATTGGTTGTTCAGACCGTGATTATTTGGAAAATTAATTTGGCAAGTTTACAAAAAGCTTAACAAAACCAAACCGTCAAAAATTGATTTAATGACTCAAAACAATAGCTTGTTGCTGTGTATCAACCATAAAAAGATCCTACCACCTTTTTTCACACAGCTTCTTCCTACTTGCGACGTATCAAAAACAATCATAGATAAGCTAAGACACAGAGGCGAAGCCAATCTTCGCACCATTTGTGATACAATACAAAACAGCCACTAAATCGAAAAAAAATCAGAAATGCCCAAATCATTCAAAACGGATTAAAAAGAATCAAAAACTCACACCAAGACAATAGAAGGTAAAAATAGAATCAGAAGGAAACTTACTAAGCTGTAAGCAAGCCGTAAATACCTGAGAGAAAACCTTTTAAGCCAAAAAAAATTTAAAAAAAAAAGACTTAAAAACTGATAAAAAGTTTTAATCCCCCATTCCCCACAATACACAAAAAGTATTTCGCTCATCAAACGACAAAATATGAGGCCAATAAGCTTATATGAAATAGGCCAAAACTTATCAACGCCAGAAAAAAGAAAAAAAAACGGAAACCTAAAAAAGACATCATAACTAATAAAAAGTTGTTACAGCCCCATCCCCCTCAAAAAACACGCACACGCACACAATTTTTTCCGCTCATTAAACGACAAAATATTAGGCCAATAAACTGATAGAAAATAGGTCGAAACTTATTAAACCGAGAAGAATAAAGGAAAAAACCGAAAAAAAAATGAATTTTAAAAAAGAAAATAGACTTAAAAACTGATAAAAACTTGTTAAAATCCGATCCTATTTATTAAACATACACACGTACACAATTTTGTTTGATTATTAAAAGACGGAATATGAAGCCGAAATAGTATAAGCCGAGTTTTATTTAACCGAAAAAAAAGAAAAGGTAAAAATTCATGAAAATTGAGAAGTTGGTAAATTTACAACATAAAAAGCAAATTTCGAACGGGACGGATATTCAAAACTCTAAAATGCTCAAAATATGTCTGTCGCAGCTTCCAACAGAGAGACGACTGCTGCAGTTCAGAGTACAACGAGATGAAAATGGAGGTCTAAAAACTGGAGATCATCCTGTGGACAAAGTTGTTTACGGAAAAAAAGTCTAGTACCCGATTGCAATACCCTTGCTTATCCCGAGAGTAAAACCATAAAATCAAATAAATTAAAACGCCGATTATCTAATAAAGAGTAGACATCCTAAAGAGAAACCACATTGGGTGAGGTTTATCGAGCATAACACTCAAACAAATGTTTCAAAACCTAATGATAATTTAAACAAACTGCTCGTATCAGGCTAAACCCTGGATATCCACGACTACTGTTTAACGCCAATGACAAAAATTTTCATTCAAAAAATGGTAAAATACTCGGAAAAACTTTGATTATTAATTCCATTTTTTCTTCATTTTATCCCAACCCTCTCACTTTATGTCAAGAAGAAATAGACATAATTTGAGTCTGCTAACGCATTAGTAAGAACAAATTGCTGGCTTGAATTAGTTTTCGAATGGTTTAATTGGCCGCTTAGCTTACGCTTCAATAGTACGAAATAAATCGCGCCTTAATCAACCCAACTAGGTTAAACTGGTAACTCTCAAATCGCAGTACTTCACGAAAAAAAAACATGGAAGTTCAAATATGTTTTTGAATTGAGCTCAAAATATCAGTATTTTTCACATAATCGAAAAAAACTCCATGAAAACTGGCCTACTAGGAAGTCAACATTTTTCGAGCATAAATTTTCTGTTATTTTATTGATAGGCGGACTGAAAAATTAAAATTTGAATTAAATGTCTGCTGTTTCACGTAGAAATCATGGCTTTCATTAACCATTTTTATCTATTCTGAACTAGGGGCCCAGCTGAAAGCTGGAGAGACCTGTTTGATTATTTTAATATTGATTATTTTAAAATTGTTTTAAAATTTCAGGTTTCTCAAGTCGATAGCGCCCTTCCTACGCAAAAAAAGTGAAAGAGAAGCTTATGCATTCATTGGTAACGCTTTGGTAAAAAGTTTTCATGAGGGAACTTTTCAAGTCCATAGGTGTTTCCCTAGACAATAGGGGCCCAGCTGGAAGCTGGAGAGACCTGTTTGGTTATTTCAGAAAAAACGTTATACAAATTTTTGATGAAATCGAATTAGCTAGCGCTTTTTGTTTTATTGAAAAAACGAGTTTGAAAAAATGTGGGTGGGGGGTTTAAGGTTAGCGAAATCGCAGATTGATTTCGGATGAGTTTTGTAAACTAATGTAGCAAGGTAATTGTGTGCATTGCAAATATGACTATAATATGTTGACTATAACTGACATCACAAAAACGTTCTGGAACAAACCGACCTGATTAAAGAGAACTAGCGTAACTCGTGCAACTTCTCGTTGGACTTCTTCGAAACATACAAAAAAACTCAACACAAAGCCAATAGCACCAAGCAAAAGCGAGAAAACGTAAGCATAGCGGATTCCATTGTGTAAAAAATACACACAATAAGTAAATTGAATCTTTGTTCCAATGCCAAAAAACTTTTAAAAAAACTTTTCCTAAGTGTACAGCTCTTCCCCGAGACAAATTAGGGACGAGCCGTTTGTGTAGGGGGGGTTCCTACAACCTGGTTTATCGATTAAACCCTTAATCCCAAATCTGGACGGGTAGTTTTTGAGGAAATCGGAAAGATTTGAAAAAAGGCCAAAAAAGTCAAAGTGACTTTTCCTAAGTCTATAGCTCTTCCCCTAGGCAAGTTAAGGACCAACCGCTTGTGCGGGGGAGTTTCCTACAACCTGGTCTATCGATTAAACCCTTAATTCCAAATCTGGATGGGTAGTTTTTGAGGAAATCGATAATTTCCGAAAAAATAGGCAAAAAAATCAAAAAAGTGACTTTTCCTAAGTCTATAGCTCTTCCCCTAAGCAAATTAGGGACCAGCCGCTTGTGCATGGGAGTTTCCTACAACCTGGTCTATCGATTAAACCCTTATTCCCAAATCTGGACGGGTAGTTTTTGAGGAAATCGAAAATTTCCGAAAAAATGGGCAAAAAGTGAAAAAAGTACCGAGTTGTGAAGCTTTTCTAAGACCGTAGGGGGTGGGGTAGGGTAAAAATTGCCCTAAATTTTATGCAGGCAGGTAGGTGAAACGCTACTGAATCCATTGGTACCACTTTTATGAGAATCTGACGGGTGAAAAGCGAATTTTTCGAAAAAGCGTCTCAAAAAAAAAAAAAAAACCAGATCTCATCTGGAAAAAAAAAAACGTTTTTACAATACCTGTTTAATAAATCAAACAGGAACTTGATATTTCAAATAGATGAAACAACGGTTATGAACTAAGAATTGAAAAAAAAACATACAAATAATTTTTATAAAACTCAGGCCGAAAGACAAGAACCAAAATTTGAAAGCCATCAAAAAATTGTGTGAAACACAGACATTTTGCAGATATATTGCAGTGCAAATACATAATGAAAGGGCAATGAAAATTTTAAAGTAAATGGTGAGCATAAAGCCGAAAAGTAATTAATCAGGAAATGTTTGAAATTTAAATTCAACATAGGCAAAGCGGAGCTTCGCACCACTTGCGATAAAAACATAAGAAGTCGAAAATAAATTAGAAACAAGGACAAAAATAGGTTAAACCAGGAAAAAATAACTAGGCTCGCAGCTAAAGCTGGAGGAAAGTGTTTGATACTTTTTGAATTTGTTATACTGAAACGGGATGAAATTTCAAAAATAAGACTTTGCCTCAAACCTTAGTTGTTTTTCTATTAAAATCAGTACGAAAGAAAAAATTTAAGATATTGAAACTTTCCCAAGGACGTAAATTTTTTCTTGAAAAAAATAAAGAGTCACCGCTTGTAGTGAATATTGTCTCTTTAGCGTGGCCAATTTTGAAAATAGGCTTTCAACAATCTGTAGTTTCCAGTTAACCCTTGATACCAGATTTGGCAGGACAGTTATCGAGAAAAAAAGAAAGTTTCCAAAAAACGGTCAACAAATAAAAAAAAAATTTCTCCCGAGAATCATAGCTTCTCGTGTAAAACTATTTGGGCGAAGTCACTTATGCAGAAGTAATTCACGCAAAGATAAAAAAAAACAAAAACTCAACTTGTAAAAACTACAAAAGTCCAAAAAATTTAGGTTTGGGAGGCCAGTTCACGAATGAAGTCGCGAAGTTTCAAAAACAGTCAAAATATTAATCTTTTGACTTTTCAGAGGGCCATAGTTTTTTAGGTCAAACGATTGGACGTAGTCGCGTTTGAAAAGGATTTTCTCATACCCCTTTTTTGAATTGAACCCAAAATCTAAGATATAGGAGGGTAATTTTTAAAAGATTAAAATAAACGGTCAAAAAATCAAAGTTTTCCGGAGGCAACAATTTTTTGTACAAAAAATGAGCGGCCGAACATGCAGGATATTTTCTCACTTCCCATTATCTCCATAAAAATATATTTTTTAATTTAATGGAAAAAATCAAAAAAAAACGAAAAAAAAATCAAAAACATTGGTCAAATATATACCCCCACAGAATTTTTTGAAGGCTGTAGACATAGGGTCAAGGTAAATAGAGTTTGCAATAGTTTGCAGAGACACAGGGGAGTAGACGGTCATTCCGTTGATAGTCCTTGGTTGAGAATCGGTTGAAAATCGGTTGCGAAAAAAAATTCCATAGCGTCTCAAAAAATTAAAATACTCTAATCTCATACACTTTAACAACGCCGGTTTTGATCAAACAGGATTTCTAGGCAAATATTCCAAGCAAATCCTTTAAATTTTAAATTAGCAATGAAACAAAACTTACGAAGCGGAAACAAAGCCGACAATCTTTGAGCAGACTCCAGTTGAACCGAAAAAATGACTTTATACTAATTTTGCGAAACTGCAAGTCCCCTGAAATTACAATGAACAACACTTGCAACTACATGATAAATGCATACAGCACAAAAACATCCGTTATGTGGCAACTAAGCCGACAAAAGTTAAGCAGATAAACGGAAAAAAAATTTACAATTGCATACAAGGTTAAGCAGATAAACGGGAAAAAATTTTCAATTGCATACAAGGTCCAACCAGGCGAAAGAAAAATTTATGGAAAACGGAAAAAATCACAATATTTTTGATTGCAATAAGATAAAATTGAAATTTCGCAAAACTTAGTACGTTTCTATTTTCATTGCTTTCTTCTGAATAAAAGGAAACGGAAAGACAAAAACTTCAAAAAACCTTCCTTTAACTCTGAAAAAAAATCCAACATCCGATTTGATAACACTTGGCAAGCGCAATGAGATATTTGTTACATTCAACCAGGTTATACGATGTGGAAACTACTCTTTATACTAATGAGCGGACTGAGCAAAAGGAAACATATCGGAATGCCAACTTGGTTATTTCTGCTGAGAGTTTGGAAATCTACATAGTTGCTAGCGTGTCGTTCCATATTGGCCACAGTTGGCAAAGTAAACACAAAAGTTGTCCTGATAAGCTGGTCCTAATAGCAACTAAACTATGCAGGTACCCTGAAAATATGAAGATGGCCGATGTACTTGGTAATGCCTACGTTTTCCCTCTACAACTCCTTTTTCTCAAAGCAACTGGCGGGCGTTATTTGATCCGAAAATATCGGAAGAAATGAAAGCCGAGATATTTGTTGGCGCAACTTTGCTAACACCTGTTAAGAAGATATTCAGTCAACAACTTCAGACGATGTATCCAAAAGGCAAAGGATTACCTCTCGCGCTGCTAGCTCTTAACGACGAACCGCTATTGTACACTGGTTTAAAAATGCATGCAATGGGTGAGCCATTGAGGCGATACGTAGCCAGTTCTCCGCCACTCTCAAAGTTAAACAATTGGCTACCGCCCCAGAAAAGCTTCGAATTCGACTTTTTATAGTAAAAACCTATTCTGAAAGAAACTTGCATTAGTGCATCTAAGTTCTACACATTTTCATTAAATTACCTTTTAAGAATTGCTTCAATAATTATTTTGCTTCAACAATTACCTTTTAAGAATTGCTTCAATAAGAAGAGGCAGTAATTATTTTGTCTCAAACAACAAATATGAACAGGGAACTCGAAACAGGGTGTTTTTCTCACCAAAATTCAGAATCAAAAAGAAACCTCGGATATTTAGTGACATTATATTTCTGGGTATCGAGAAAAATCGGTCTAAATGTTTTAGATTTTCAGACCAATTTAGAGCTATACATTGTTAAACTCTCTCATTCACGCTCACATAGGCTCCCTTTCTTTCTTTTCTCTCTCTCGGTTACTTGAAATATTTCTCAAATTAATGAAAAAATTTTACTTCTCATTAGTCTCTAAGGAGTAACGAAGACAGAAAATTTCACAAGCACTTCCAGAGTAACCGGATTATTTTGTATAAGGTATCCCTTGAATTCTTTTAGAATTTGCAACGCCTAACGGTTAAAATGACTAACAGTTAAAATGACTTTTCATATCACTTTTCTTTTGTGGTTCACATCCAAACCAATGTTTGTTTCTGAAAACAGGAAAAAAGCTAATTGAAATTCTTTTTTACTTCATTATATAAAACCACAAACAGACGAAAAATAAATAAATCGTGTAGAAACTCTTATAAACACACACCTATTAGGCGTTTCAACGACAAGCTCACATCATGTCCTGGTAAATTTCAACGTAACCCAAGCCCATGCAAGCGCCTTATTTTTGTCGGTTTCCAATCGAACACACGTAGAGCACATGAATCCGCAGTGCATTACATGTAATCGCTTTTCGCAATTATCTATTTGAATTCTAAGTCAGTGAAATAGCATACAAATGGACTAAGCATGAAAGCAGGGAACGAACTCGGTGTATTGTCAAAGGAAAACCGTGAATAGAGAAATTCTATTCCTTCATGGGCAGGGTAGGGGGATAAAAATGGGAAGAGAAGGAAAATGAAACAGGGAAAATAGGGCAAATGGAATGAGCCTGATACATGCGGACTGTAATGAACATTAATGTAGTAAAGTGCGCGCCACATACTATGCAAGCAGGGACGTCGCGCAGTCTTAATCTCATTGTAGAGTCCGCCCGCCTGGCGATGACTAGACAAGGATCACGAGAGTCAACAATTTTACTTACAGCACTGCGGATTAATACGTGTGAAATAATGACTCACGGGTACTTATTTTCAACTTAAATTTTTAATTTCTTCCTTTTTCCAAACAAATCATGAGGTCGATTTTCGCAATGCTTTGTCTCTCTTTTTTAACACTTTATTTAATTCGGGCAGGCCGCCTTCTCGTTAGACTTGATTAAGTTCCAAATATTTGAAGAATTAGATTTGATTGTGGATACATGTATTTACTACGTAATAAAACAGCGGCCGGCATGGCGTTAAGCGAAGCGAAGCAGTAGTAGTCTGCATAGAATGCGAAATAGCTCAAAGAAGAAAATGCTCTCATTCATAGAAAACGCAGGACTATGAATATGGTGGTATATACGCCCGCTACCAGCCGGAACAACTTAGTAGTTATGTAACAGTCGTGTAACAATTATAAAATACTAAAAAAACCAAGCACAGTTCAACACAAAACAACCAATTTTTGGCTGTTTAAGTCTGGCTCAAAACTTAAGATCAGTTTTAAGCGTTTATATTAATCGCACATGAATATAAACTTCAGAAAAACGCAATTTTAGGCAATTTTTTTTTAAAACTGCTTTACGGCGCATCTTCCGCTGTCAAATGTGTACATTTGCTACTTACTTCAGAAAAATTTAATAGTTTCGTGAAACATTCCATTCAATATCTTATCTGCCATTTAAATTCTGCGCAAGGCTATATCAATTCCATTTATTGTGGCGAATTTCCTTGGGGATTTCTCGCTCAGATTTTAAAAAAAATTTCATCAGATAAATTTTATTTTTTCATCAGATAAATTTTATTCGATATTAGGCTTCAACAGGCAATTGATATTTTAACACTACCGTGACTAAAACAGTTAAATAAAAAACTGATTTCCAGACAGACCTTGTATATTTTCATCTTTTTTCTCTTTAGTCAAATTATCGAGCAAGTGGAACTCAGTCGGAGCATATTTTTTCATCTTTACAAGGTGGAACACTGGAAATGAGCCAATAAAAATCTAAGAGCAGACATCTAACGTTAATATGCAGTTTCAATATTAAGAAGTTCAACTAAAGTAAAATACAACGAGTAACAACAAGCAAAATATTGCACAATTTTAACATCAAAAAGATTCAGATCAACAAACGAAACATTTGAAATCGAACATCTTTCGTAGAGTTAGACAAAGTAGATAGAACAGATTCACGCTGAGTCCATATTGCAAAAGTTGGGAGATAATTTGGCCAGACACGTAGAAAGACGCGAATTCTTGACTCTCTTTTCATATTTCACTAACCACAGTGTCGTCTGAAGCACCGACTCTAGCTCTAAATAGGAGTGATGTGCGCCTTCAGATATTTCATCATGCTAAATGCCTTGATACGATCAGTCCCCGCTTCGCCTGAAATGAAAGCGACAGCATTCTTGTGAAATATCCCTACACCTTACAGTTTGGTTACAGAACGACAAAAAGAAGCACCGCAACATTTGCAATACAAAAAATAAAGACAATGGCCAATATATCATAAGGGGGAAAACAGATATTTCCATTTGAATATAAAAGTGGAAACAGACTTCAAATGCAACAAATCTCTGGATTTAAACACTTCCATTATCTAACCTTCTTTTAATAATCGAATAAATATAACTTAAAGCGAAATTTCGAGAAAAAAGAAGTACGCAATTTGACCTCAATGTGCCAGTCCAAAATGAAAGTGCAAGATTTCTGAATTTTAGCGATTGGAAAAAAATCCATCTGAAAAATTAACTCAAGGAATTGCCGAACAAGAAGAACTTTCTTATCTGCTGTATCTAAATTGATTTCAATAAAATAGAGGACAGCACTCGGTAACCCTTATGGGTTCGTTAGCCGTCCGCTCTTTGTTACTGATGTATTTAGTGTTAATTCATCTGATTTGAAAATAAGTAACATCGAGAAATTAATTCGTCTTCTTCTTGATACAACGAAAGCGTCGCACTTAAGCTAGCCAATAGACAATGAGACAGAAAAACAATGGAGAAGCAAAACCACATTAAATAAGCTTTCAGTATCACTTCTCGAAAGGCCATAAAGCCGAAAACTAAACATTATCATGAAAATTTTTCGAGCGATTTAAATTTATACCTAACTTGCGACAACGTAAGCACAGCATTGGTTGATTACAGATGCGAATCGGAGTTTCGAGCCACTAGCGATACAACGCAAGCGTAGCATTGCAAGCTAGCCAATAAATGCGACGGAAATTACTGAGCCGAAAAAAAAACACTTAAAAAATCATTTTTTTTTTTGAAAAACTGATTAATCCAATTTCACAAAAAGTGTCAAGAAGCAAAGCATTAGCTTTCAATAGACTATGAGTACCACTTACCAAGTTCACACAAAATCGGACACAGAAAAATTTCAAAAGAAATTGTCATAAAAATATCGGGCGACTCCGCTAAAACATAAATTCTTTAATCAATTTCGAAATCCGAGATGGTACATGAAGAAATGACATGACGACTGTCAGTTATAGCAAGAAGTCTTTGAATCAAAAACACTGCCTGCTTTCAAAATTAAACCGACAAAAACAAATTCAAATTTTTCCGGTTATCGCTAAACCAGGTGGGAAGGAGCATAGAATAAATTCATAATAACGCAAGTTTATTTTCTAACATATTTGTAAATTTATTTACGGGAAAAACAGCCTTGTTCCCGATAACAAGATACTTGATCTCGAAAATGTAGTCAGAAAGCATATCTGCATTCAATTTGGAATGATGCCTGGGCCTACACGACTCGATACCTACGTGTTCTTGAAAACTGGATATGTAACGCGCAAAAACTATCCCTAGATGGCAAAATTCAAATGATTTTTTTCGAAACACCGCACTGAGCACAAGTCTTTGTGGTGTCTTTTTCTCCGCAATACCTTCCAGTGATGTGTCGTGGGTCAAATTTAATTCGATTCAAGGTTTTCTCGTTTCTCTAGCTTCGTTTATGCAAAGCTCAGTTTGGCCTTATTTTTTCAAAGTTAGTTTAACATACACATTTAACTGCTTGTAGATGCTTGCTATAAATTTGAACGCTGCCCAAAATTCTGGCATCTGATTTGGGGGAAAGGACAATTTTTCTCCAAGAGGCTAACAATTTTTTTTGACTGCTCATTGCGTAGCCAGTATATAACAAATTTGGCGCAATATATGGAATCTCGTATTTTTGGTTACAAGTTACAATTGGTAGCAGTATCTTGATTTGCTGACTTTGACTGGTTTATTTTTTCATAATTTCAATTCTGTCATTTTCAATTCTCCTGCGACTAAAAGCGCAGAGGTCTTCATCCGAACGTTATGATATTCCCAGAGCAGTACCTTCTTGTTCTTGTAAAGCATTCCGCCAACGAATTGACACTATTCGCATGTTCCGTTCGTCTGATCAGATTACTCCTGCGTCGTCATGCTAAATAGCAAAACTTGCTATGCGATTCAAATTAGTTCTAGACGAAACTATAGTGCATCCTCAGTTTCGGATAAACATCTATCTCGAATTTCAAAAACAGATTCTCAGACTCGGTCAAGCCCTGCGTATCGATTTCGCAATTGCTCGAAATCTTGTTCTAAACCATTTGGCGCAGTTCATCAAGGTTTGAATAAAAGTGCTTTTTCACTTAAAAGATGTAAATATTGAGCTCGCTGATTTTTAAATAAAATTTAGTTTAACATACACATTACCCTGTTTGTAGAAGTTTTCTGTACGGTGAAACGCTGCCCAATTTTATGGCAACTGATTGGGAGAGGGTGGGCAGCTCTTCTTCCGGATAGGCTTATGTATTTTTTTTCATTCTCGTGAAAAAGGTGTGAAACTACAAGCCAATAAGAATTTTTTGGAAAAGAAGCGTGTCTTCGGTAATAAATACAATGACTACAAAGAGGGAAAAACTGTTTCTTGCAGAAAATCAAAAATTTTGTAAAATAGATATGGGAAATGAACTTTAAGTTTCAGATGCAATTCGGAACAAGGATTGCTGAGGTCATTGCATTGTGTAAGTCATATCCTTGTCATGCGGTTTTAATGGAACACGGATCAGGACAAGCTTGGTAAGAACAGCCTCAAGTGGATGTTACCTGCATCTTATCAAAAGGAATCCATTAATTCTCCGGTTGCGTTGATTGATGATTTGTCAACCTCAGCTTGACCTCTTATACATGAAAACCAATAAAAAGCGATATCTCGATCATTAGCGAAAGTGAACTCTGTTTGACACTTTGAATACTGGTATGATTTTTTGCTGAGCTCAAAAGAGTTTATCTCGTTTAACTTTGAACGGAATGTGGGTGAAATACAAAATTTGAACATAAATTCAAACATAAACTTTTCTCGAACAAACATTTGGTTGAAAGTTCCAACGGGCTGCTATGAGAAACTCTTAGTAGCTCGAAAATATCTCTTGGCTAAAGAAATAACATCAGAAAATGAAAAAACACCGCACCACGTTACTCGAAAATCCCGCTTATTGGAAAATAACCGGGAAAAAGACAAATATAGCTGAACAGATTCGGCATTCAGAGAAATGCGGCGAGCTGAAAAAAAACGTGGTTTTTTAACAAAAACGGCGGTGCCTGGAAAAAAAATAGAAGAAATAGTTGATAGGAAAGTTCTAGTTAAGACGATCATTTTTGGGATTTTTTCTCAAGAAATTAGTTTACGAAAGGACTGTCATCGCGACTCGATCAAAATTGGTAGTAACTCAGCTACTCTTTCTTTGTCTGGCTTCGTCTGTCTGGATTTTTCTAACTGCAAAAAGGCTGAGGTTATGGACTTTATAATGTCAGATATTTTTCGATCAAATGAAACTGCAATAATACCATTAGTTTTTCTCTGTTAAATAGTGTACACTAAGTAATCCTCCGACTTTTACATAAGTGCATCATTAATTGTACACACCACTTTTACTTTGCTAACTTTTTTTGGTATCGTCATATAATAAGGATTGCGTAAACAGTTAGGGTGTCCATTTCTGCAATTTGAAAAACCAGCTGTCGAAGTTTAACCCATATCCTAGGTCGTTAGTAGATCGGAATGATAGTTTTTGCTCCCCTGTTCTGTGTTCCGAATCTCGATTTGTGACTGCTTTTTGCAAGGTGCGAAAATTGATAAAAATGATACTCTCACAGGAATACACAACAAAAAAACTGAAGAACATAGTTGCTTTTTGGTTCCGTTGTCTAGCTAGAATTGTCGGAGGATAGGTACAAACACATTCATAAAAGAAGATAAGATAACCATAAGTAGGAAAGGGAATCATGCTAACTTCAACTCTCAGTCGAGGTAGGAGAGATTCTTGACAATCAATTATGAATTGAAAGTCGCCGCTGCACAATTTGCCTAACAACTGACTTGCTTTTGTCCAGCCTACCTAATTGTTCTTCGTCAGAGAATTCTTCCGCTCCTGATCATTGATCATCATCATTATCATAATAGTCTACCTGGTCATTGAAGATAAATGTTTCGCTTTCGACTTCTTCATCGCTGTAATACTTCACTTGTGCGGTGCTTCACTATTTTTAAGAATATGGGTCAAAGTTTTGACTGCTCTCTGCGTAGCCAGTCTATCAGGAAAATGACACAATGCATGAAATCTCGTAATTTGGCTACAATTGATAGCAGTATCTTGAATTGCTGACTTTGCGCGGTTTATCTTTTTATCAATTTTGATTCTGTCCATTTCAAATCTGCTGCAACTAAAAGCCCAGAGGTCTTCAACCGCAACGTTATGATATTCTCAGCGCAGTACATTCTTGTTCTTTTAAAGCATTCCGGCAATCAATTGACACTATTCGCATGTTCCGTTCGTCTGATCAGATAACTCCTGCGTCGTCATGCTAAATAGCAAAACTTGCTATGCGATTCAAATTAGTTCTAGACGAAACTATAGTGCATCCTCAGTTTCGGATAAACATCTATCTCGAATTTCAAAAACAGATTCTCAGACTCGGTCAAGCCCTGCGTATCGATTTCGCAATTGCTCAAAACCTCGTTCTAAATCATTCCGCGCAGTTCATCAAGGTTTGAACAGAAGTTGAGTTCTTTTTCAAATAGAAAATTTTAATATCGAGCTCGCTGAGTTTGTTTTTCTGGTATGCGGGCAACAGTGATACTGGCTCTTACAAGTTCTAACTGGTTTTCCGAGAGTGATTTGAGAATTATCCTTTGCAGCTTAAAGCAAAAACTTGCTATATAATAACACTGTATACAACTAATATGGTATAAAGTTGGTCTAATTTTTATCAGTCAGAGATATTTGCAGTGACTGAGTTCTAATTTCAGAAAAAGAATTAGGCTTTTTTTAATTATTCAAAGACCGCGTCATTCCTGATATGATTTAGACCCGACGTTTTGTATATACTAAAAAAAATAGGTGCAAGGTCGTTAACAAGACCGACCGTTTACCACACGAATCTTTCGCCTGACCACAATGCACAAATTCAATTAAGATAACTTCAAATTAGTAGAAATTTCAAAGGAGGCGGTTAAACCAAACAAAATTCGCTGATAGTCCGTGAAAAAAATGACTTTAACCAGACTAAACGGCATCATTAAATCTTTCAATCAATTTTGTTTATCGAACCTGGTAAAAGGTCCATGTAATAATTTTCTAGTGAAAGGTCGAGCCCCTAAAAATACTTACGCCGTGAGATCATCAATTACACAGAGGCGAAGCGGACCTTCGCACCACTTGGGATACAACACTAACATGAAATAAAAACATAAAAAGCCGAAAATGAAAATGTAGTCCGACACTTGAATTTTAAATCAGCACCACCGGAACAAAATTTACAAAAAAATCAAAGCCGACTATCTTTGAGCAGACACAAGTTGAGCCGGAAAAAAATAAACGTTTCAAGTCATACCTTAAAAAACAATGGACAAAATTTCACTTACAACTTCAATGAAAATTGTACAGCATAAGAAAAATCAGTGATGTCGCAACTAAGCCAATAATCTTTGAGCTGAAACCACTTGAACAAAGAAAAAGATCTTTCGATATTTTCAAAAAATTTTCAAGCTCGCCTTGAAACTATAATGAACAGCACTTGCACTTGAAGCTACAATAAAAGTTGCAAGACAGCAAAAAAAAATCAATGATGTGGCATCTAAGCCAACTATGTTTGAGCAGACAAAAACAATTTAGCCAACAAAACCTAAGCGAACAAAAAAAACCAACAATTCATTTTTCTCTGAATTTTTTTTTCATTTTCCTTGATTCTGGAAAAAAAATCCGGCCACGACTGGAACCCCAGACCTTAGAGTACAAGGCAACAGCTTTACCTCCAGACCAAGGGGGGAAGCAACCTGGAACATGTTAGGAGAAGGTAAGAAGAGAAGTAAAGATAAGAGAAAAGAAAAATTTCAACTGATTTTATTAAACTAGTTGTTAACCCGGAAAAAAATCTTTATTCTAGTTTAATAACGCTTAATTATTGCAAGCGTAAAAAGTTGTCCCAACATATTATAGATTTTTAAACTTGCGATTTGGGGATAATTATTGCAAGTCAATTTTATCAGTTTTCAAGAACCCGTAGGTACCGAATCATACTGGTTCAGAAATCATTATTGAGTGCTAGTTTTTGTCCGGTAAACTGCTTTTCTTACAAATATGTAAGAAATTGAATTTGCTTTATTATTGATTTTTAACAATTTTTAGGCTCCTTCTAACTTGGTATACAGCTTACCCTTTTTCCGAGAAAATTCTCAGAGTATATTTTGACGATTATTTTCTATTGGCTTAATTTACAAAGCATCGATTTTTTATCTTGACAATTCGTATTATAATCAACAGTCCTCCTGTTATTTCCCCAATTTACCAATTAGAATTTTGCGTAAGTTTTTTATTTTACTTAGGCATCCAAAAAATAGTTTTTTTTTGTAGAAAGAGCTGTTGCTCTATATGTTCGGGATTTAAATCCTTGTGGAATACTTCTTGCAAAAATCTTGACTTTTTGACGTATACAACATCAAAATTGGAAGCCTCTGAAACACCAGTTAGTGCAAATAATTGGCAGCCAATTCAATAATTGAAATCGACCATTTACGATATCAATATTTCCTTTTCCAAGTACTTCAATTAGTTTATTATTCAATAATTCATTGCGGAGCCCTGTCTTAGACAGAACCATCAGACAGAAATAACAGTAAAAAAAAGTATGGTGGATGAAAAGTAAACCTTCTTTAAAAATTCGTTGGTGCCAACGAGTCGATAAAAAAAGTAAATTATAAAAGGGGCTCTTCCGTTTAGGTCCGGTCGTGCACAAGCTGGATAGCGCCCATACCAGCATTATATAAATACATCAATTAACAATATTGCGGGAATTAATTCAATTAATTGCGGGAACGAGTCGATAAAGTTAACAGAAAGATGAAATTCTATTCGCACTTTGCTGCGATTCTGGGATTGCAATGGAACAATTAACCGAACAATGATAACTATCCATAACGACTAAATATTTCACGCAAAGATTTCAATATAGTGTCTGACTTACTGAAGACCAATTGCATATCAGGATCTCTGAGCATGATATACTGTCGATTGGATGGATCTTGAAGCTTCCTCGATCTAATGATCTGCCACATCTTCTTAATTATTTCGTACCTTGGTATCTAGTAAATTCAAAAAATATATATAAAACTTATCAATCGTTGAACTAAACAATGAAACCATTGATTGATTAACACTTAATTACTTTATCGCACTCCAGCAGAGTAGCTAGATCTTTCGACAACTTCACTTCTTTGGCGAATCCACCACCACCTTGAACATCATTTCACATGGAGATACCGATGAGCTTAATAAGGCAGTTTATTTATAAGGAAATTTATGCACTTACGTTTTTTAGGAACTTCGACACTGGGATTCATGTTCAATATCTACAATTCAATATACAATTTTGCACGACTTAACTTGTTTGAAACGCATGGTAACAAAATATTGTCAATAGACAGTTGGAAACGTGATAATCAACTCGTGAGAACTGAAAAGAAACTACTGATTACTTACACAGAGGCGGAGCTTCGCAATACTTGCAGTACAAAAGTAACATAAAGAACAAGAAGTCAACAAAAATGAACAGAAAAAAAAATGTTCTACCAAAATTTAAATTTTCGTATGTCTCGATAGAACTTCATTCTAGGCAAACCAGCAAAAAATCGACCACTGAATTAGGAACACAACTTACTCAATTTTTAGGAAAATTTTCTTGGAAAAAAATACTCGAATTAGGAAAAATAGTTCCTCAATTTTAAAAACCTTGTTAGTAAGTCGAATGGCAGTGCCGGACTCATTTTTCTGAGATCGCTCACTAAGCTGATAAACCTTGTAGATGGCAAAATACCGGAACCCTTTTACCATTCTTTTCCGGCGCAAAGCTTATCGCTCTCATAAAGATAGACGGAGGTTTAAGACCATGGGCAACACCCTTAGACGTATCGCATCTAAATTCGCTGGAAGCAAGGCTCTCCCGAGCGATAAAAATTTTTCGGAGACCTGCAGATCGGGTGCGTCACTCAACGAGGAGCAGAAATAACTGCATACTCAACTCGAAACCTGATTGAGCGCGACGACAATCCAAAAATCACTGTTCTTTTAAAACTAGATTTTAAGCATGCCTTTAAATTAAAAGAGAATTAATGCTGAATTGTTTTTTCAACTCTGAAATGTTGTTTCAACATGTCCCGAATTAAACTAACACAATCATATCGCGTTAAGTGCACCTTACTTATTTAATGGAAGCTCGTTGAAAACTCGTTGTTGATATCTGACCGCAAATAGGAGCGCATTTAGACTTTTTATATGATTACGCCCCTATCAACGGGCAGATATCATCAACGAAATTTCAACGAGCTTCCGTAAAAAGGTAACAAGGTGTACTGAATGCGACTTGGGTGTGTTAGTGTTGAGTATATATGACTGAACAGTTGATTTCTTGTTAAACATAATTGTTTCTGGTTTTAGAGTAATGTCGTGTAGCTATTGATTAAACTAAAATTTTGACAAACTCGTTTTCAAAACAAGAGGTTATAGGCCCAGACAACATTCGTGAGTACTAATCCTGTTGTTTTAGTTAGAAAATTACTTTGTTGGTTTCATTCAGTTAATTTGGTATTGTCTCGCGGTTACAGTAAGTAAAAAGTTGTCAAATCTTAGTTCAGAATGGAGAAGTCAAGAGTTTTCGATTTTCGAAAGCTAGATGGCAACAATTACCGTGACTGGAGTTGTTACATGAAATTGTACTTCCTGGACAAATAATTGTTCGATTATGTGGATGGAGCCATAGCGCAACTACAGGATGCTACTGCAGTGTCAGCGTGGCAGCATGAGGACAGATTTCCGGAACCCTATTAGCGTGGCAGCGTGAGAAGAAAATCACGTGTCAGCGTGGCAGCGATTTGTTTGGCTTTTGAACCTTGTGCCCTTCCGCCGTACGGCACAGTCGAAGCAGCCTTTTTAAATGGAAAGAGACGGTAGAGACCTTAACAGGGAATTCGTTATGAAAAGGAATGTCGAATATTTTAGAATTTAAATTTTTCAAAATTTCGTTCAGAGATAGGATATTTCTCAGAAATGAAAAAAAAAACGGCCCATTCGTCCGAAAAATACGACAAAAAGAGACAACCGATTTAACTAGACAAAAATCAGTTGAAGAAAATCACGAGAAATATGAAGCCTCTTATCGTGGTAACAAGACAAGATAAAACGCTTATCTGAGAGAGATCATACGGAAGAAAGGTCCAGTGGGGCATCGGGAACGGTTCCGTACCCTCCCGTCCACGAAATCGGAAAGTTAACAAAGTTATACCCGTACCCGGGGATCATGGAATTGGAGGCCCGGTGCCCAGAGACTACTAGAAAGTGTCACAGACCTTTAGGGACATATTTTAGCTACTGTAAGGCCCTGCACGTTTTAATTAACTCCAATATTGTGTGCCAGTCGGTCATATTTGGAAGTTTGACCTTGAGAGAAGAAAAAAACACTTGATTTTGGAGTGAAATTTAATTTTTCAAAATTTCGAATGGAACCTGTCATGCACGATTTTCTCGCGAGAACTGAAAATCAGAAAAAGAGATCAGAACAATTTCAGAACGATTAAGACACACACGCGGGAAAGTCGCAAGAAAAAACAGTAGGAAATTGCTATTCGCAATTTCCATCACTATAATAATCGAAAGTAGAGCTGTCCCATCTGTGACAGAGACGAGAGCATTCCCTCGAGTTGGATTATTACGATTGGAATACTATTCTTGACTGGACCAGAGTGAACCTTCGGTGGAAAGGTGGACAGCTAGAGTGTCCCAATGGTTCACGAGAACTTGCAGTCTAGAGTAAAAACTTGTTCTTGTTGTTAAAACTGACTGACATTAAACTCATTTTAGTTACTTTATTAATTCTTGAGTTGCTTACCGACTTATTTACTTCCTGGTTCTTGAGCGTGCTACAATGTGAGTACTTAATTTAAATTCTAGAGTGTGTTTTATAATTGTGATGTTGAGGTAAGGCGAGTTTTAGGTTGATCCATCTGAAATGGATCAAAGTTCCACTGTCTAATAAAAAGTAACTTAACGGATTGTTCCAACCCGGTTTTTAACGGCGTTCATGTATTTTGGGTATCTAGAGACCTAAGTATGGGGACGTTTCTAATTCTAGAGTGGGGGGATATTTTAGTAGTAGCCTTTAAGCTGTAACGGGTCGTAGTCTCATGTCACAAGCGAACCGAACTGGCTCCGACCGTTCTTGAGGTAGAAAAACACAAGAGATAGTGTCCCTGACCCTTGAGCCAGTGGTTATAGGGCCTATTTTTCTTAAGCCTCATGTGTGACTGCAGTAGACGAATGTTACATAGTGTTTTTATGGCGCTCCTGGGTGTTTACGACATCAAGACTACGGAGTCGAACCCACTTGAGACAGCTTCGGGCTGAATGCCCATTCTAGAGTACCGGCGGTACGGTTCGACAGGAACGTGCAAACCTTCCGGTTGTACCGTGATAGCTTTTTAAGAAAACTCGAGAAAATTTCCTGGTACGCTCTCCGAACGAGGCTTAGCTAACCGAGTAAAGGGGGGCAACTAGGGGGACAAAAACACGAGCAAAAAGACAAAAAGCAAAACAAAAACCATAAAACGAAAAAAGACAGTGACTTTGACACCAGATTAGTTGGATCAAACCTTTATATTAATTAAATAGTATACCCATACTGTTTTACAAGTTCGATCGTTTCGATCAACCTAGCAATTTAAACCAGTAAACTGAATAAAGTGCCCGAAGTGGGGCGTTGTCAAGGGTTTTCAGATAGCTTGGAACTTAGCTGGACCAATAGGAGACTTGACTGGAAGAGGTGACCAGCCGAGTGGGAAAGTGGTTCAGGGACACTTGAGCTGAACCAATAGGAGACTTGACTGGAAGAGGTGACCAGCCGAGTGGGAAAGTGGTTCAGGGACACTTGGCTGAACCAATAGGAGACTGGACTGGAACAGGTGACCAGTCGAGTGGGAAAGCAGCCAAGAAGGATTTGGCAATTCTCGAGTTCTCAAGTTGGGCAGAACGGGTATCGTTAGAATCCACATTACATTATAGGAGATAAGTGTAAAATTGGATAAGCGAAATCCCCCAGTTTTGAGGAACGTTTTTACTTGAGCAGGCCTGGAAACAGGTCTACGGTTTTCTCTTGAGAGGTTTAGCACCCGGCGCTTAAAGTAATTTTTAGGCTTAAGAAGGGGGTATAGAAAGGGGGGAGGTTAGAAGGGGGACTGGTTAGGCTAGAGGTTGGCGGTTGTAAATTGCAAAAAGGGGGAAATTAGAGTAACTAATTAGTCGACATCGTTGACTTAGTTACATTAGAAATTAACACGCGTTGGTAATATTAGGTGGAGATCCAAAATTCAACTCGAGTTAAGGCTGGTACGCTGGTTGGTTTGGTAGGGGGGACCGGATATAGACAGCTTTTGTGATACCCCATAAGATCACTAGTGGGGGGAGGAAAACGCGTGGCAATTAGGTACCAGACATTTTTTTTAGACGAAAGGTAGACATTGGTCACCTTTAAATTTTAGGTGGGCTCATTTTTCTGTTTTTATTATTTTTCTTACTTAAAATTTTTGTTGCATTTTATTGAGGATTTGTGTTTGGTTTTATACGAACAGGTGATCACAAGATACCTGCGCACCTACATTGAAATAGAAACAACCAAAAAGAAGAGGGGGGTCAGCATTTGGCTTTTAAGAGAGGGTTTTTGGGAAAATTTTACTAGAGCTTGAGTGGTGGTACAAGGTACGGTGGTTCAAGAAGACCCTACAACGAGGAAGACACTCCGTGACGAGTATTGGGACAAGACCGAAGAAGTCTTGGGACAGAGCAGTCTTGGGATAGTGGTCTTGGGACAGGGTCTTGGGACAGTGGTCTTGGGACAGGGTCTTGGGACAGTGGTCTTGGGACAGGGTCTTGGGACAGTGGTCTTGGGACAGTGGTCTTGGGACAGGGTCTTGGGACAGGGTCTTGGGACAGTGGTCTTGGGACAGGGTCTTGGGACAGTGGTCTTGGGACAGTGGTCTTGGGACAGGGTCTTGGGACAGGGTCTTGGGACAGGGTCTTGGGACAGTGGTCTTGGGACAGGGTCTTGGGACAGTGGTCTTGGGACAGGGTCTTGGGACAGTGGTCTTGGGACAGTCTTGGGACAGTGGTCTTGGGACACTAGTCTTGGGACACTAGTCTTGGGACACCAGCCTTGGGACACTGGTCTTGGGACACTACCCTTGGGACACTAGTCTTGGGACAGTAGTCTTGGGACACTAGCCTTGGGACACTAGTCTTGGGACAGTAGTCTTGGGACACTGGTCTTGGGACACTACCCTTGGGACAGTAGTCTTGGGACACTAGCCTT